CTATAAAGGCAGTCGAAATTAATGAAAAAAGGCATACTACTTAAGTAGTCACATTTTATAGTAAATACTTTATCTTGGCGGTCAGAAAGATGCTCCTTAAAAAGCCGGCACCCTGAAGTGTCCAAAATATGTTGAGATTAGGTTGTATGATCATCTCTATTACAACCATCCGCAATTAATACGTTTCCAATCGAAAACTCCCTTCAGAATTCCGGCTGCCATTGCATGAGATAGTGAATCTACTGTACAGATGTCATTTACGTTCTGCAACCTACACGCGCATAGATCAAGCCTCGAAAAAGCCTCGCTTCTGTCTTCAGTGATAGTTGTTGTAAGCGACACAAAGTGGAAGTGCCACTGCGACACCTTTATATCACCTGCGCCAATTATAAGTCCAACCCAAGCTGATTGTGATGCGGTTTGGTTATAGTGCTTGACATAGCATAGTGCCTTACGCGCGCAACGTATGTGACCCCAGCTCTAGATTCTATTTAATTTATGGGATTCAGGAGAATGATTATGTCTTGTTAAATCATAACCAATCACAGGGCAGTTTGTTAATAAGCCACAATACCTCCCACTAGACTGTGATATGCTTAGCACATCTTCTCAGATTTAGAACTCGACGGATGCCGGTCAAATGTATTTCAAACTTGGAGGTCTTACTCTTGTTCCTTGGGTACTACTCGTCTAGGTTGAAGAATCTAGTTGCTTTTAGCAGGCAGCACTGCTGAATTTAATAAGATAATTGAATGCATAAGTCTTACGCCAACATTTGCTGTTTACTCCTTGTTTTTTTTGGGTCAAGCATCCGAACACTTTCCAACTTATAGCTCGTATTCAAAAATAAACTGCCTCCTAACCCGAGCAAACGCTTAACCGTGCAACATTTTGTGCTTGCTTGTGCGTTTGTTCAGATATCTGCATCGATTTTATAACTTTTGAGACCGGATAAATTTGGTTAACTGAAAAATAGCTGGTCATAAATGGTGTCTTTAAAACGTATTCACTCTTTCTACGTTTTTTTTCATTTTCAATTAAATTACTTTAATATGGGCGTCTTGAAAACTCAAATTACACAGGTACGCGTTCCTAGAGTTCCGTAGCAAACTCGACGCACAGAGAGCTGCAACAAACTTGAACGGGCGGCAGCTTGATGGAAAGCCGGTGGTACTATCGGGTAGCGCCGAGGGCGTGACTCCCGTAGTCACGTCTGGCGGAAAAACCTGGCGATCTGAAACCGAACGCACACTTGAAGACTTCGACCTAATGAGCATCTACGTCTGTCGGCTTCCACGCTCGGTTACCCGCACAGATCTGGCCCAACTCTTCAGAACTGCCTCCGGTGTTAAGTTCCCTACACTGGCAGATGGAACTTGCAAAGGGTGAGCTAACTTTTACAGTCGCCATAGGCCATTTTACTAAGTTGGTCGAGTGGGAATGGTAATGCCTTTTCCTCCAGATGTTTGACATTCGATCCTTTATAACTTGCCATACTTCTCACTCGGGTTAATAAGACAGTTGTCTGCAATGTGAGTAGCCATTTTTGGACCGGCATACCGCATCTATTTCTTGTATCCTCTTTTAGTTTCTGCTTCTTGAAATACCGCTCACAGGATGACGCGCTCCAGGCTTTCACCAACCTGGATGGAACTCTCATGAAGGGCGTCCCCATCTGTGTGAACTTCCCCATAAAGCACAAGGTACCTACTCTGACACTACCTTTAAGACCTTTTCCG